ACACTTTTCGTTTAGTGAATAACCGTGTCAATATATTCTGCCAAACCCCATTTTTTTCATTGTGTCATTTTACTAGTATACGGATGTCCTGGTACAATATGAGGAGCTGTGTGAATCTATTTCACGTACCAGGAACCTGATGTGTTACTTTATCTCAAAGAAGCTTTGAGCACCTCGAGGGTCAGTCGTCACATCTGTGGTTAATAAGTAACGTAACCTTGCGTGTTTGAAGCTAGCTGTGCAATGAAGGACTTCCTATTCTACGCTTGGTTCAGTATTTGTACTTAAGCTTCCATCAGTCTATATGGTTTACAGTGAGAGCCATTCCTTGCTTGAACTCAACTAATCTAAGCAAGAGAGAGGATTGGAGAGAGATATTGATTCTGGGATTACTTATATAATTCCCAATAAATACATCTATAAGAATAGAATAGATTTTGCAAATTGCAGCAGTCTTTATTTTATTTAATGCTACATTTCCATTTCCTGTATTTCCCCCATCCTTTTTATTTTCAATGTTGGACTGAATACTCAGAATGATGCTAATAATTCTACGAGGTTGACATGAAACCCATCTTTCTTGTAGCTGTTAGGAGGTATCCAATATCCCAGTTACGGTGGAGGACTTGTGAAAGCAAAGTGTATGTACCCACATTCAGTGAACTCAGGTTTATACTAAAATGTGAATTGTCAAAAAATTACAGTAAATTTCACATTTTAGGCCAACATACCTGAAGCCAAAACACATCTGATGGCTCTTTCAAAATGTACTTTCAACGCTAGAATGTAAGCTCATTGAGCAGGGCCCTCCACCTCTCTGTTCCTGTACGTCCAGTTGTCTGGTTACAATTACATGTCTGTTAGTCCCCCCATTGTACAGCACTACAGAATCTGATGGTGCTATATAAATAATAAAATAATAATAATAATTCACTTAGAATTTTTCACATTCTACACTTTAGTGAACAGCTCTGTCAAACACACATTTTAACCTCAGCAAATCATCAATAAAAGAGCTCTTCCCAAATTGCACAACTGGCGTCTATAATAGACTTATAGAGACACTGTGGGCACCCAGGCCACTTCAGCTCATTGAAATGGTCTGGGTGCCAACTCCCATCACCCTTAACCCTGCAAGTGTAATTATGGCAGTTTTTATAAACTGCAATATTTACATTGCAGGGTTAAGTCCTCCTCTAGTGGCTGTCTACTTTTGGTCGCCTAAATGACAGTGGACGTCCTCACGCTATGCATGAGGACCTCCAGTGTCACCGAAATTCCCATAGGAAAGCATTGAATAATGCTTTCCAATGGGGAGGTGTAATGTGTGCGCGGCGCATTAAGTATCCCTCACCTGCGGACATCGGCGGGGGAGGAGCGTGGGCAGAGCCTTACCCAGCACCAAGGGACATCGGCGCTGGATTCAGGTAAGTGTCTGAAGGGGTTTTAACCTCTTCAGTGATATGCAAAGGGGAGGGGGGGCAGGAGTGAAGAGGCACCCCAGGATCCTCTAGTGCCATGAAAACAGGTTTGTTTTCCTGGCACTTGAGAATCCCTTTAAGGTGAGAAAATTTGTGTTGGCTGAAGAATTTTTCCTGAAAATAGAAAAATTATCAAGACATTTTGGGAATTTCAGACCTATGTTGGTTCCAGAATTTTGCAGACAGGATTCCAATTAAAAAACTGAAACAGAAGAAGAAAAAAATGGTGTGAAAGTGGACCAATCAGTGTGCTGCAAAATATATACATAATATAGATCCCGAGTATCCGCTTTATGCATTCCTCTCTAGTCCTGATTGTTTTCTGATTCAAACCAATAACATGGTATGTTGGTTTGTCTATTGTCTATTTTATATCTGTAATAATATTAATGTAATACTTATATTATGCAATGTATTTTTGAGATTTATATAGCTATAGATATATTTACAGATATAGAAAAACAAGTAGCAAGAGAGGGGAGAACGGACAACAGCTCAATTAGCCTGCCCTTCGGTGGGTCCCCACTCAGATCAGGAGAGAAAAACAAGTAGCAAGAGAGCTGAGAACTGAGAACTGAGAATAGCTCAGTTAGCCTGCTCTTCAGTGGGTCCCTGCTCAGATCGTGGGCCCCTTGCTCACGGTGCATAGAGGGATATTGGCTAATTGAGCTGTTGTCCTTTCTCACCTATCTTACTACTTGTTTTTCTCTTCTTAAGTTAAAAGGGCAATCCAGACCTGGACCCCTTGGTCACAGTGCCTAGAAGGATATTGGCTATACCTCACTGATTATACCTTGCAAAGTTGAAACGATCATCTGGGGTTGCTCTATCTCTCGTGTAGAGGGAACTTGCTGGGATTTTGTATCTGGACTGCCCGTACGGGTGAGACCAGTCTGATATGCTTCAGATATGTTCTCTCTGTAATGGCACCAGATGAACTAAAATCAACTTGAGATCTGAGCGGGGACCCACCGAAAGGCAGACTAATTGATCTGTTTTTCATTCTTACCTCTCTTGCTACTTGTTTTCTCTATTTACAGATATATACACATACACTATAAGGGCAAATGTATTGGAATACCTAAATGTTCCATCAACAGGGACTTTTATGGCATCACATTTAGAATACATAGACACATAGACATTAATATGTAGTTGGTCCCTCCTTTGCAGCTATGTCATGTGGTATCTGGCACCACAAGTCTAGCACCAGACCCTTTAAGTCCTGCAACCATTCTTGAACAATTTTTGAAGTGTGGCAGGGTACATTATCCTGCTGAAAGAGGCCACTGCCGTTATGGAACATCATTGCCATGAAGGTGGGTAAGTGGTCTGCAACAATCTCTAGGTAGGTGGTACATGTCAAAGTAACATCCACATGAATGCCAGACCCCAAGGTTTCCCAGCAGAACATTTGCCAGAGTATAACACTATCTTCCTCGGCATGCCTTCTTCCCATAGTCTTCTTCATCTCTTTTCAAGTAAACGACACACTGTGCCATCCGCCTGATCTAAAAGAAAATGGAATTCATCAGACCTTCTTCCATTGCTCCATCATCCAGTTCTGACACTCACATCCTATTTAAAGGTGTTTTCAGCAGTGGACAGGTGTCATCATTGGCACTCTGATGGTCTGCGGCTATGCAGCCCCATAGGCAGCAAACTGTGATGCACTGTGTGCTCTGACACCTTTCTATCATGGCCAGCATTAAGTTTTTTCACTAATTTAGGCTATAGTTGTTCTTCTGGGCAATTGGACAAGACGGGCTAACTTTTGCTTCCCAGGTGCACCAATGAGCCTTGGGCACCCATGACACTGATGCCGGTTTACTGATTGTCCTTCCTTGCTCCACTTTTGCCAATTACTAACCACTGCATACCAAGAACACCACACAAGACTTGCCATTTGGAGATTCTTTGACACAGTCATCTAGCCATCACTATTTGGTCCTGTCAAAGTCACTCAGATATTTCTGCTTGCTTATTTTTCCTGCTTACAACACCAGACTCCATTGTAACCAGACAAGTAGATGCACAGGAACTGAGGGTGCATGGTAGATGGAGTGGGCAAAAGGGTAAAAGTAGGGGGGAGGTATTCACTGAGGGCATAGTAGGTTATGTTTGACAGTTGCAGGAGAGGAGTCAAGGTGTGGAAAACGTGATAACAGTTTAATTGGTCACACATCTGCCTGGCCTCATTATGGTGCTCAAAGTGAATTCATCTCTGTCCTTTCATGTTACCGTACTGGAGTGAACTGCCCTGCTCTGGTATTTGGGGAGTGAAAATGGAGTGAAGTTGATATAGGGTTCTTTGGTATTTAAAAAAAGAAAACAAGGGCAGGTCAGACAATGATTCTTGCTGGAAGGGCTGCGGACAGAGGGGAACATACCTCCACAAATGACACCTGAAAACACCCAGAAAATTAAAACGGCAAACTCACCTCAGGACCACGATAACAAAAGTGCGAAACTATATACTTACAGGAAAAGATCACACAGCGAACCCGGAAAACAGACACCCACCAACCAAAGGGAACGGAGCAACACAGTTTACACTCCGGGACACACAACGACATATATACAAAACTAAATCACACTAACCATGAACACTCTACCACAACACACATCAGGTCGAGACTCAAATACAAGTCGACACCCACACACAAGCCTGGAAAGCACTACAGACGATCACACACGCATCGACCAAAAAAGCCACACAGGCTCACAAGCTACGAAGTGACCACTAAACAGCATGCACGTCCCCCCCAACCCACCAATCCCCATCCGAAGACTCCAAAGAGAAATGTTGCAACCCAACAACTTAACCAGCCAACCCACATGTTAAGACACCTCCAGTGTCTTTAGGCAAAACTGCCGTTTAATAGACCTTCCCCGTCTGCAGTAACAGTCTCCGTTCGCTTAATCTGTAGTATACGAACCAAATGCAGGGGAAGCGCCAATCTCCCGACCGAGATCCGTGAACGGCTCCAAACTCCCGAACGGCAATATACGAACTGCTGCTAGCCGCCGAACAACAATATTCACCAAGCGGCTTACGTTCAATCCAGCAGTCTCTAAACGTGAAGAAGAAATCACCCCAATAACGAGACAGAAGCTCCGCATTGAGGGTCAAACAAGATCTGGCTTTACTGTGGGCTACGTATTTATGCAGGTCTCCCACTTGGTGGACACTCCCCTAGGGGACCAAATGGGAGACTTAAATGACAGACAGATATGGGGACATTTCAGACACACAGTCACAGATTTTACCCACAGTGCATTATGATTCCCTCCCCTCTGTCCTGGAGTTAATTACCAAGTAACTCAATTAACTCCAGGACAAAGCCAGTCGCCATCTTAAATATAAAATCACAAAAGACATAAAAATATATAACTTCACAAAAACCGAACATTTCCCATTCGTATCACATATCCCTGGCACCAATCACCCCATCAAAAGACTGCAATTTCATGAGCTACCCCAGATACAAGATAAGAAGAGCTCACAAAATATGTAATAAATAGTATTCCCAAAACTACAGTGAAACATCGAGATGAATTTTAATGGGATGTCTCACTTTAGTACAATAGGAAGGTAAAGGGTAAGCTTCTTTAAAAAAAGCCACCAACCAAGAAGTTTAGAGTCCATTTCCCAAAGCCAGTCATGGTGTTGGGCAGAGAACAGATGGGACAATCACAGCTTGTCCAAGAAGTTATCCAAAGCTTGAACACTCTCCTTAAGACCCTTTCTCTTGTGGGATTTGGCCAAAACTTGGCTTGGACTGGTGGTATTGTCAAATGAATCTCCAGGAAGAATCTGCCAATGATCAAATACACACTGTGGGAAGGCCTGGCCACCAGTGTTTGATCTTAGGTCTGCAGGGAATCCAAAGGATTAATTGACTGGCAGGTAGGATTTCACTATAAACATTGGTGTGCCTGCCACTTGAGATTCTTCAAAGACGTGTCCACGCTTTCTGTTCAAGACACCATAAATGCCTCCAACTACCTGCTCAGGGCACTGAATCTTCACAAGATAGATTGGTTCCATCAGATGGGGCTGGGCTGTCAACACACATGCATATATATATCCAATGATGGGCTGTAGGAATGATTTGTCCAACACCTCCTAATGGATGGCATTAGCATGAAGAGTCAAATCATGAAGATCAAATTGTACAGCTCTCAACTTCTCTTTACAAAACACACCCTCTTTTGTAGCCCACTGGAAGCCAGCCATAACTGTCTTTTATTTCATTTAGATATTGTACTCCTTTTGTCACATCAGTCAGGATGTTTGGTCTAGTACCAGCAGGGACACCAGATCTTCCTAGCCTCTGTAACATCCCACTCATATTTCTCTGCCAAGTAAAAGGCATGAATCTTCAACTCTAGGCGGGTACTCACGTCTCCTTTGTCAATATCCTCAGCAAGGCCATCAGTGAATAGACGGACCTCTATATACACACGGTTATGCTTGTTAGGAGACTTTGACAGGCACAGCTGGTTTGACTCTTCATTTACAGTTTCATGGTAGGAAACAACTGGGTCAGATTCTTAATTGGATTGCAGACATGGTCCTCCTCTAGATCCTTCAAGCAGATTTCCAAATGCAGCTCTCCAGCTCCAGCAACAATATGTTCTCCAGATTCCTCAATGATGCACTGCACCATGGGGTCTGACTTAGCCAGATGCTTGAGACCCTTCACAAGTTTTGGACGATCAGCTTTGCTTCTACAGCTACACGCACTACAGGGCTGACACTGAACTTCATAACATGCATGTTATGTGGATGGGTGATTGTCCCAGTTTTCATCAGGAACTAGTCCACACCAACCAAACCCACAATGTTATCACATGGAACGTTTTTAATTGGCTCCACATAATGCCCCATCATCAGGATTGTCCTCTGTATAGGCTTCAGGTAAAGGTCCTCTTTCTTTCCTGGAGTATAATTTGATCCCATAATTCTGACTTTGAGGCCAGTGGAGACAACACCAGAGAAGACTCTTCCAAAAGCATAGAACCTTCCCTTATCAGTGATGGGCACCATTTTTGAGCTATGCATCATTAATGGACCTTCGGGGTCACAGTTTTTTTTATGCCTATAGCGGCTTTATCATCAGGTGGTCCTTCATACACCAGCTCACAGCCTTACCTCTGAAGAGTCACTGGTAAGGGCAGGTGGATGGTAATCATCTGCTGAAGAGCTTCTCCAGCAGGAAGCCAGTGTCTCATAACAGCCTTTAACAGTTGTTTTCCCTCTTTATCTTTGTCTTCACAGTCCAACTTGATGTCCAGTTTCTGGATAAGTTTATCAGTTTCATCTTTCTCAAAGTTCATGCAAGTTTCTCAAAGCATCAAAAACGCTGAAGATTGGGTCCAGGATAAGCTGGCAAAATATTGTAGGCAACTTCTTTCCATCAGTATTTGTTGCAGCCTTGCTAAACTTTCCATTGACAGGACCAAAATACCTGTCTTCCGAAAGTTTCTTCATCATGTCTTCCACTTTTTTGCATATTCAGCTGGTGTCAGCGTGCCCTCACCCTTGCAGCAAACTTTTGCACCTACATCTCTGCAAATTGTATGAGGGTAAATGCCCAGCCATGGAGTCCAGAACCAAAGCCAACAGTACCAAGAACTGGATCAATCGTGAGGTTTCCCATGGGTCCTGTCGCTCCCTCACCATAGTTGGATATGATAACATTTACGTTCTCCACATATATGCTGGAAGGTCTGATAAAGCTCTTCTTGCTCTAGTTGCAGTTCCAAAAGTGCACGGTCCATTTTGTTCATCATCAAGACAGGGCGGATACTTTCAGCAATTGCTTGATGGAGTACAGTTTCAATCTGCACACATACACCAGACACACAGTCCACCACAACAAGGGCACCGTCAGTAACACGCAGAGCTGCTGTAACTTCAGAGGAAAAGTCCACGTGGAGAGTCAATTAAGTTGATAAGGAAACTAGCCCCATTTTTACTTTGCTTAATAAAGGCCAAATCATTCTCAGATAGTTCATAGAAGAGGGAAATTACTGTAGATTTGATTGTAATACATCATTCCTGCTCATGTTTATGGGTATCTGTGAAGCAAGTTTTACCCGCACAAGATGATGCCATGATTCCAGCTTTACATACAAGAGAGTCAGTCAGAGAGGACTTGCCATGGTCGACATGGGCAATGACTGACATATTGTGAATGTTCACCTTCTTGTCCATGATGTTGCGAATCTGGTCTACCGTGAAGTTCACCATTTTGGCGGATGTTGGTGGATGCTTCTCATGAGACTTGAAAACGTCGAGTGGACTACCTGCCACACAGCACACAAACAGGCGGAAGAGATTCTTTGGGATTTTTGACCCTGACATATAGAGAGACACTCTACGTTTAGATCATTCTTAACTGGAATAGCCTCCTCTTCCACCATTTGCGTTAGCTTCATTCTGTCAATTGAAGATTCATTTGTTGCAAGAAAGTTTAATAAATGTACCTCATTGTCCACCCAAGCTTTTTCTTCAAACCTCACATCTAACCAGAACCTACACAGGGATATCAGGATCTACTCTTCCAGAAGTTCCCAGAGGCTAAACCTAACCAGTGCATAAGCATGCATCACCACAACTACATGCTGTAAATGTGCCAGAGAGCCAAGTGGACATTACATCTTTTATAACTACTATAAGATGTACTATAAAAATTTAAATTCAACTCACAGTATTTAAATGATGACAAGGTGAGATTACTCAAGGTTTTCTGATTAAAATTGTTTAGTTTCACATCAGCGTTATATTTTGTTCATTTACTCCTGTAGTGCCTGCCATAATGCCCTTAGGTCCTTGTCTGTTTGACATTAATGAAAACCCATGTCCTTTATTAAAATAACCTGGGGAGTCCATTCATGGAGAATTAGTGCAGACAGATTGCCTTAACCACCAGAAAGGATAAACTGACCACAACTTACTGTGCCACTTTGCTGTATACAAGAGAGCCAAAACATCTGAAATCTCCTTAATGATGAATATTTTGTGTTGGGTGATCTTAGCGTATAATCTTGCCCTAGGGCACTTTGACCTTAAGAACTACAAACAGCTGGAAACATACTGTCAGTATAACGTCTTCATTAAGCTGAAAATCTCTCTTAGCTCTAAGAGATCAACTATCACCTCAAAATATATTTTTAATATAATAATCCAATCATTGGTATTGGAAGGAAATAGATTAAAAATATACATGAATTAAGTATATTTTAAAAAAAAAAAAATAGAGAAACTAATCCCAGTCGTTAGTATGTGACCGGATTCTTCAGCCACTTACATGCACCTTGGGTCAGACAGTGCTTGAAAACAGACAGTTAGTCTCTATGCACAGAAGCAGGAAAGACCATAGAGTTTAACTGACAGTTTTCAAACCTTGTCTAACCCAAGGTTCTGGTAAAATAAGCATTGCGTATGATGAACATAATCTTTGGAATGTTCCTTTTCAGCTAGAAAGGTATTTGGCTGAAAATGATAGAATTTACAGAACAGGTGTGAACTGTTTTGGAACTCCCGTAAACCAGGTGGATTATGTATTGAACTGATTGTGCCAAACATGCATGTATTGAGACCATGGCCATAGCTTAAGTTTCCATAGGAATAGCTGACTAGGGTGTAGAGGACCTGCCACTGCTCATTACATACTCAGCTTGATGCTGAGAGGACATGGTTGGAGTTTGGCATTCCATACTCTTTCCTGTCAGAACCACTATTGCACTGCTCTGCAGTAAGAAAACAATGTGTAAATCCAATTTTAAAAAAACGAACAAAAAAAACTTATCTTCAAAAACCTCTAGGACAGCACTGTTTATAGACCCAAGTGAGATTTGGACAGCGTTGTCACTGAGTCTCATGTACTCAACACAATGTATTCAAAAATACATCAATTCCCCTCAAATTAAAACAAAGAAATCAAAACAGGAGTAATATCCGCATTTTGCAGTTTTTAACATTTTGTTATTTTATCTGTACGATGCCTATGTATTACTACTGGTACAGCGCTGTGTGCACATCTCAACATCTCTCCTGAAATCAGACTCCAATAAAACAAAACGCAAGATAGTTAATAGGATGTTCTACAAGCAAGGAATGAGCAATGCTAGTGCAGATATGTCATAATGTCATAATTAGAGAGGGTCAATTTATTCTCATGGTAAATGCTCTCTTTCAGGTAAAATCAGGGTAAAGCCAAGACTTTCCAGTGCTGTACATGGATGGAGCTAAATTGTGGTGTCCTTTCCACATCTCACTCCACTTCCTTTATGTATCTGATCCCTTTATATGCTCCATCTCCTTCACAATAAATGGCATAATAAGAAACATAGTACTCCAAATTCTAGGTATTTATGGTGATGAACCATATAGAGACACGATAAGATTCCAGCCTTAGAACATGGAGACCCATGTCTGACTCCTGTTTAGACCACCTCACTAGTAAGTGTCCCTGACACCTGAAGATATACATCTCCCTACCTCAAATCCTCATAGATTGTAATCTTGATTGAGGAGAGCCTTCTGCACCCTTTCCCCTTACTATAATTATAAAGAACTGCATGGTATGTTAGCACTTTCCATTTTCGACATCCCAAACTACCCTAAAGATGAAGATTTTCTTTCAAATGTAATGTGTGTAAATACACCTGCATATAGTATGGGTTCTCATTACAGCAATGCACACTGTCAACAAGCTAGTTGGGTGGGCAACTTTAAAGAGAATTATTTACTGACAGAGTAAATCTGCCTTCAAAGCTGATGTGTCATGTACTTGCAAAATGTATTGAAAATTTGTCTGATCTAAGATTTGTTAAACCATCAGTCAAAGTTCAGTCAGTGTTAGATGGGAAACTGCACTGCGTAAGTAGTTAAAATTGTATTTGAATGTTCACATCACCTACATAAAGCTGGATCTCACAGATTGTTTAACTTTCTTACTCTGTTAACCAAAAATGTATACACATTGCCATTTCTTCGATAGGATAAGTAAACACAAACAAACCAAACACTTAGTATAATTTTAAATACAATACCCTATTTTATTTTTAATTAAAGGTCCACAAATATAAAACCCTTTGAGGAGAAAGTAAAAAACACCAAATTGTTTACATTGTGACTTCAATCACAATGAAACACATCAGAACATTCATTAAATGTATGCGCAGTGATTCAAAATATCACATGTCCAGCTTAATAAAAACAAAGAAACAAACAAACAAAATATCAAATAAACAAACACTTAAACATAACAAGATACAAAAAAGAATTGTAGTAACTTTTTTGTTTATTTATTTATGTTTAAAACATTAATCACTATCCTTAACCGGCCGTGAATGGAGAGAGCAGCTTAGGCATCGAGCTCCCACTACGGCGGTGTTAAAAGAGGTGCTACCCAGTGGTGTATCCTGGTTTTGTGCTGCCCTAGTCAGGACAAAACTCAGGCGCCCCCCTCCCCCCGCGCCACCCCCACCCAACCCTCCCCCCCGCCCCACCTTCTAAATACACACACACAGTCAGACACAAACACACACACAGTCAGACACACACACACACACACCCAGTCAGACACATACACAGACACAAACACACACACACACAGTCAGAGACACACAGTCAGACACAAACACAAACACAGTCAGACACAAACACACACACACACACACAGTCAGACACACACACACACACAGTCAGACACACAGTCAGACACAAACACACACACAGTCAGACACACGCACACACACTCACAAACACACAAACACAGACACAAACACACACAGTCAGACACACACACACACAAACACACACACAAACACACACACACAGTCAGACACATACACACACACACACAGTCAGACACACAGTCAGACACATACACAGACACAAACACACACACAGTCAGACACAAACACAGACAGACACAAACACACACACAGACAAACACACACACAGACACACACACTCACAAACACAGTCAGACACATACACACACACACACAGTCAGACACATACACAGACACAAACAGTCAGACCCAAACACACACACAGTCACACAAACACAGTCAGACACAAACACACACACACACACACACTCACAAACACAGTCAGACACAAACACACACACATTAACTTTTTTTTAAATTTAAATCCCCCCCAACCTCCTTACCTTTGGGAGTGCTGGGGGGGTCTCTATCCCTGGTGGTCCGGTGGCTGCAGGTCAGGCGGGCGGCTGGCGAGGGAGCACTTCCTATGAGCTGACTGCTCAGCTCCCTCGCGCGCCGGCTGCAGAGTGAGGCTGGGAGCCGGAATATGACGTCATCTTCCGGCTCCCAGCCTCACTCTGCGGCGCGCGAGGGAGCTGAGCAGAGAGCTCATAGGAAGAGCTCATAGGAAATGCCTTGTTTGCCTCGCGGCTAATACGCCCCTGGTGCTACCCCACTGGTTCCCAAACAAGTCCTCGAGGCACTCCTACCAGTCCAGTATTTAGGGATTACCCTCCAAAAGAACACCTTAGACACAACCGTGCAATCCCTCATTTCTGGGCTGCTGCCTTGAGGACTGGTTTGGGAACCATTGTGCTACACCATTACCTCCTAATTTTTCAATTGTTTTTTGTTTGGAGGTAACATCAGTGTGAATGTCTAGGCATTACCACTGGTGGTGTTGTTTTATAACCAGAGATTTTATTCTTAGTATTCTTGTATGTAGGTTATTTTATTGTTTATTTTTTCCTTTCCATGAACATGCTGGTCCCATATGGGACTATTGCATACCAGTTACACAGGACTGGGGTTTCTTGATCTGCTGTGTATTTATAATTTCATTGCCCTTTTCTACCTCCATGACCCATGCCATTAGCCATTTTCTATTAATTGTATGACTTTAATATGCCCCATAAGAGGTACTTAGCTTTGGAGAAGGCACGTAAAACAAGAGCAGATGTGGCATTTGATCAAGAAACCCATTTTACAAGGGGAAAGCAGACCCTTTGTTCCTCTAAATTCTTTCCTCCAGGATGTCATTCCAGTTTTAAATAGAAAAGAAAATTGAGGGGTGTCCATCTTGCTTAGGGATACTGTGACCTTCAAGTTACATAAAAATGGGTGTACAAGCAGGGCAGATAATATGGAGTTGGAATCTTTTGGGCGTCTGTTAACCCATATAAACATGGATTGATTTATAAAATGCTGGTGGGGAGGGCAATGGTAGCATACAGAAGATATGTAATAGCATAGCAAAAACCACCAACTTTATAGTGCTAACTCAACCTAACCAGGACAGGTGGAAGTGTTTCTATAGAGACCTCTTTGCTGTACTTGTGTCTCAATTTCTGTTTACTGAGC